AAAATCCGCGAATTATTTTTGTTTTGTTTTACGATGTACACAAAGAGAACATGTTCACAATTAATTTAGGAGATGGGCGCGAAGCGCCCTCTACGGCTAGAAAGAAGGGCGCGAAGCGCCTTGAATTTCTAGTAGTTATAAAGTTATCCATAATTTTCATAAAAAGGGGTTTTAAGTGCGCTGACGTGCGTTATATAATGTCCCCCCCCCCCTCCTACACAAATGCTGTCGACTCGTACGTCCCGAAGGGGTCCTTTTGCAATGTTACTTTTAGAGTGAAATCTAGATCCAAATGGTTGTAGAAAAAATTAGTAATAGAAATATACTCAAGAAGTCACATATCATAGTTAAGTCTTTTAAATATGAATTTTCTCCGTAGCTGTACCTTGTGAATATTATTGGGTTTTTGAAATATATATATTTTTAAATGTACAATTTTTATTTTCAGGTATGATACTGTTGTTAAAGAATCCTTCCGGGTCTGCAAAGCTTGCATCGAGCCTGCATCTGCTGGGGATAAGGTTAGTAGCATTTTATTCTCATAACGTGCACAGTATTTATATTTAAGCAAAGATGGTACATATTTTGTGAAATTAAACCATCCCTCTGACAGAGGGTAGATTTTCGATGCTTGGAAAATAAAACTTTAAAACGAAAATTTATTGTGTGATGAATCTACTAGGAATAAATAATTATTTTTATTTTTTTTATTTAAAAAAAGTTTGTATCATGTAAATACATTTTCCAAAATTCAAGGAGAAATAGTTTTTAAAACTTTGAATGCATGCTAAATATTATTTTACTTTTCCCTAAAAGAAGCTTAAGTAAAATCATCAAATCGTTTATCTCTACGAGAATATTATATTGTTCACTGAATTATTTAATTATTTTTTATTTTAGGTAACATCCTTGATGGCAGAGTATGATGGAGAGGAGTACATCATTGCAAATTTGAACAAGAAGCACCTCAACGAGCAGTTGGACCTTGCCTTCAGTATCGGAGAAAAGATGGCGTTTAAGGTTGGTTTTGTCATGGGTGCTAATTTTCAATTCCCGGGGAATGATTTTTGGCAAGGAAAAAATCTTAAACTTGGAGACGATATCGGCCAGCTTGGAGGCTGAGCAGTGAGCACTCTACACGTAAGCTGTTTCCTTACAATGATAAAAAATAGATGCTGCTTGATTTTTTTTTTGGGGGGGGGGGTGTTATAAACTTTCAAGTCGATAATTTAGCCCATTTTATCTAGATGCGTTTTCTTAAATATTAACAACAATGATCCTCACTCCCAGGTCATGAACTTTACTTCATTTTTAAGCATATGCAAAATATTTTTTTTTTAAATGTAATTTTTATGGTTTTTAATAATCGCTCATTGGTTAGCTGTTAAGATTTGTGATTTAGATCAAAACCGTGATTTTCAGCAGGTTTTGGTAGGTATTTTGTCCCTTGGATTCGCATATGTTTCTGGATCCAGGAATCCAAAATGTTGGTGATCCTAAGCACTGCTTATTGGATCAAGAATGGTTTCTGAAGCATTGACTTTTGTAGGTTGATGGACCTGGAACTGTTCATCTGACCGGAAACATATTGGAGGATGATGATGATTTCATGGATCCGGAGATGATGATGGGAGAGGAGGAGGAGAGCGAGGAGGTTATTATAAATTAATTATCAGTAATCAATATGAGAAAAATTAAGGCCGGGGGGGGGGCTGGAATATATCTCCTTTTTATCTTATGACAATGGAGTAATTGTTGAGGGTATAAAGGTCCAGTTAGAGCAGGTATGGGACGGTGCTTCCTGTGCCTGCCGGCGGTCTGGGGGGTTCATAACGGGGCCTCTTGTTCAGATTTCATTTCAAATTAGTTCAAATGATACACTTGCATATTTAAGACTCCGAAACTTGGGTATTTTAAACTAAAACATCGATATGACCAATTTTACTGGAGACCAATAAGCAAATTTTAAATAGTTTTGTAGTTACAAACCGATTTTTAGAGACTCATATGACAGATTTATTGAAGTAAACAATATAGTAATGTGTGAACTTAACTGTTTTTATGATTTTCATTCCTCATTGTGTAAACTAGTAGAAAGTGTCCTAGCCTAAATAATCAAACTGAAAATATTCCCTTGGTTCTTACGATTTGTCTTAACAAAATTTGAGCTAAATCGGTCAAGGGGTTCATGAGATAGGATTGTAGATACAAACAGACTAACAGAGATTGCGAAATAAGAAATAAGATAAATACAATTGTTGAAACTAATAATTTGATCTCTATTTACAGGAGGATGTTGAGGAAGCTATTGGTAACGCACTGAAGAGGAAGAAAGGAGATGTCAATGATCAAGTCAAGAAGATGAAGCTGGCTTTGATGAACGGAAAGACGGTGAAACATTAAATACATAAAAAAGGATTTAGTAACTTTGTTTTTCCTTTTATTACTCATTGCACCTTATTTAACGGAAAACTTGCATTTCATTACTACTTCAATATTACATACTCACGAAGAAAATCATTTAGTCAACTTCCATCCTTGTTAACTTTTTCGGAAATACAATTTGGGGTGGGGGGTATATCTACATTAAAAAATGGCCTAATTTTCATGAAGCTCTGAAAATTATTTTCCCTTATACTGATGATCTGAACATTAAATCAGACATTCAGTTAATGGAAGATCTAAAGACTTCTTAAGTATTTTCTTCATTATAATCTTGTTGTGTTTGATCAGGGTGCAGAGGAAGATAGTTCTGATGATGACGATGATGACTCAGATGATTCTGATGAAATGGATACAACCGCTGGAGATCTGGATTCAACAACTAATTTTGCAGAGGAGGTTTGTTTTCTAACATAATATGAATAACAAGCTGAAGACCCCGGCATTGCCCGTGGAACAAAAAAATTAAGAGAAAAAAAATTCTAATTTTTTAGCCTTCAATACCCCCCGACCTCCCATGAGTGTCCATAAAAAATTTCAGCCCAATCGGTCCACCCGTTAGGCCGGCTATACGCAACATATATATATAAATGTCTTGTTTTATTATATAGATATATCATATCTGTTCGGTTCCATAGTAGTAAACCTACCATGTAAGAATTCCCATTATTACATGGTTCAGAAGAAACATTTTCCAATACTGTTCACTTCCTATCGTTAAAGAATGCTTATGGGTATTACCCTGGGGGTGTCGAATTTTCATTTAATTTCTCTGCATATTTGTAATAGATACGTCAAGAGCTTCTTCTAAAATGAAAAGTTTATCATGTTTTTCACAATTTCAATCACTGCTTTTTTACTTTATAACTGGATACTGAACAAAAAGATCTTTTCCAAAATTCCACATTTAGTTGTAATATTTGGACAAAATAGACAGAATTAAGAGGTGATGGGGGTCAATTTGCCCCCCATCCTACAGCTGAAGCTGGGTTTGAAGTACCTCAGCAGTCACCATATCTCGCATAGCTCTGAGTTGACGTGGTACCACAATCAAAAACATTGAATTTTAGTTTATGGAAATATTAGTGTCACAAAATTTGTGTGGGGTCTTAGCACTCCATAGCAACTAAAACAAACCAATAAATCTCGATTCAAAAATAAAAGTGAAGGACAAAGATCTTCATCATTTATTTTCTTGAACGGGTTCTTGCTGGCTAACCTGCTTTTCTCTCCTCGTTTTGGAAGATTTAGCAGCTAATATCCAGCAAAAGATTCAGGGTGGCCAAAATGTACGGATTGTACGGATTGATTTTTTTTTAACCCTAAAATTGTACGGATTGTACGGATTTAAAAAAAAAAAAATTGTACGGATTGTTTTTCGAAAATTGTACGGATTGTACGGATTTCGTCTGAAAATGTACGGATTTTTGTACGGATGGGTTCAAAAAAGTTTTGGCCACCCTGATTAGATTTCACGCTTTTGTTCAGTAGATTAAGACAAACCACGAAAATTCTCTTCCTTCTCTCTTTCTAAAAAGCTCAGGGAACATTCGACATGATAAATCATAATATAGCATTTTAAATTAGTAAACAGACAAACTAACTAAGGAAACAATCACACCACATGCATTATTTACATATAATAAACCAATTTTTACTTATTAAAGGGTTTATAACATTTTACCATTGTAACATTAGAAAAATAAAAAAATGAAATATGATTTCTTGGTTATTTGCTAATGGAACCCCACAAATATGATATAATATCTCAGGCCTGCGGCCTTCGTTATAGAATACATCAAGGCAGAACAAAAACCTTCAGCATACAAAAATGTTTTCCATATTCCTGAAATAACAAAAATATGACCGAATAAAAACCTTAATTTGAATTATTAAAAGTCAGTGACCTTGTTTAGATGTGTGGGCTTTTCATTGTTAATTCATTGCAATTAAAATATTCCAAGTTTTTTTAAATCTCTGTTCTTAATAGGAGGATAGCGATGATGATGATGATGATAGTGAAGATGGAGAAGATGATGATGACGACAGTGACGAAGAACCACCTGCACCTAAGAAGTCTCCTCTGAAAGAAGTAAAGCCAACTAACGGTCAACCTAAAATCAACGGAGCCGGAGACAAAACTCCTAAATCCAAGCAGGCCGAAGCCAATGTTAAAACCCCGAAGGCTGAGCCTAAGACACCTAAATCTGAAAACAAGACGCCTAAAGCAGCCAAACCAGAAATTAAGACCCCCAAGCCTGAAAGCAAGACCCCAAAACAAGAAGCTAAGACTCCAAAAGACACCAAGACGCCGAACAAGAACGATGCCCTAAAAACCCCTGCTAAGACGCCTAAGGCAGGTGGAGACAAGAGCGTGATTGATACGCCCAAAAGCGCAAGGAAGACAGTAAAAGGTGGAATTCATATCGAAGATTTGAAGGAAGGAACAGGACCAGAGTGTAAGGTAAACCAATAGTTAAAATGTGCAGTTTTTTTATTTAATGAATTGCTTAAAACTAAATGACTATTATCTATGCAAGGTTCGGTCTTTAAATTACTTCAGCTTTGATTTTATAACTAATAACTGTCTGATTTAAGCGTTAAATATATTAAAATTAATTCTAGCCTGGACAAAATGTTGGAATGTACTATGTTGGACGCTTAGCTACCAACAAGAAACAGTTTGATGCGTGTCAGTCTGGTAAACCCTTCAAGTTCAGGCTGGGCAAGGGAGAAGTTATTAAGGTGAGAACGCTTTACCACCCCCCCCCCCCCTCTCTATCACGGAAATTTTATCACTTTCCATCCCAGCTTACCGTTTCACTTTTTCTAGGGTCAAATGGAAAAATCTCATTTTTAAGTAGAATAATGAACACATTTGTATGTTAAATTTTCAGAGTTCGAATTTAATGAATTTGAGCCGCGTCTCAAATCCGTCAAAAACCGGTTTCAATTGAGCACCGTCTTAAATCTTGAAACATTTAAAACAATTTTTAGTGGAACCAACCATATTTGAGCCGTGGCTCAAATTCTTTTAAATTCGGCTTCTGGCGTGTTTGGCGTTATTTATGGTTTATGAAAAATTGTCCAATACAGTACTCAACTCAATATTACCTTCCTGGTATAATCCTTAAATCTGGGGAATATGGTACTTAATGTTATTTACCCAAGGGGACAAATTCAATATTAATTAACGGTCAGCTTGTTACATTAGATAACCTGTCTTCTATATAGGGCTGGGATGTTGGGCTAGCTGGTATGAAAGTTGGAGGAAAGAGGAAGTTAACTATTCCTCCCAATATGGCATACGGAGCTGCAGGTTACACATAATTGACAAGAAACTTCCTGAAATTTGTGTTTTTAACGTTCAGCTAAAATTAACCTGAAAGTACTTTAATTAAACAAATAGGGATAAAAGATATGGAGGGAGACTATTAATGGAACTGAAAATATTAAACCATTTTTTCTAATATATTTTCTTTCCACACCTCGATGGGGAAAAATGTTTTAGTCTGTGCAAACATTTTCAACACACAAGGGAATTATTTTTGAGTGTGGCAAAAAATAACAAAAACTACCCCCGAATATTTCTCGCTAAGCGTATCTTTCTTATACCTGTTATATGTACCCGAGTCCATGAGGGGAAGATTTTTAATGAAAATTTAAACCTAAGATGATAATAATAATTTGTTCAGGTGCTCCCCCAGATATCCCTCCCAATTCCACACTGGTCTTCGATGTTGAGTGCAAGTACGTGAACTAGGAGTTCTACTGAACCTGGACCAGCATTTTTACCAAGTCAACATTTTTTCATCTCTTAGAAGTGTATTTTTTTCAGAGAAAATGTCTCGGAATTTCTGGAATTTTCTGAAATCCTCTCTAAAAGGTTTTTAGGAGTTGCAGATATTTATAATTTTGTTAATATGGAAAGATCTCGTCGAAGAAAGATTGTTCAAACCCCCCTCACGTGTAAATTCTGTCTTCGCGGATTTAGATTCATTAGCTGTCGGGAATTTCATGAGGAAGAGTGTACTATTCGCCTACCCTCATTTTCCAATGTTGTTTACTTACCAACTAGAAAAGTTGAAAGAACCTTAAGAGACCAAGGCTCGTCATCGGAGGATGAGGAGGAGGATAAGAAGACGGAACGGGAGCTTCGTCGTGAGGTCAAGGATACCGACTCCGAACTAAGCGACGCGGAGGATCCCGCGGAAACGGACTTGTTAAGAGATCCCTCAAATCAAATTTGTAAAAGGTTGGTGATAACTCTAAATAAGCATTGAAAAAATTCCGTATTTAAATTTGATTGTTGAATTTTCGAGTAGGGATTGTATTATTGGGTTTATTCCAACATTCTTTTTTGGGGGGGGGGAACCGGAACTTAATTAATTTCCTGTAATTCTCTACGTTTTCCTTTTTTGAAGAGAATATATGAAGCATATTTTCCAAGGTGGAAACTGAAGTTTCTTATGAAATGTTCAAAGTGATGCGTTTCTATTCACCAAAAGTTGAAAACTCGCTTGTGAAGAAAGTTTCTGAACCTTGTGAATGTTGAATCATGCTTTAAAATGTTTGAGCATATGTTAAAAATTCGAATTTTCTTAGTTGTGGAAAGACTATGGCCGACGTGACTTCAATAAATTTACATGATGCTGCACTTCAAGAAGAAGAGTATTTGTCATCCCTAGAACCCAGGCCGGAAGAGGACGTTTCCATAAATCTTAAAAATTTCAGGCACGTTAAGATTTTCAAAGATTGTTCAAGACCATAAGCTTTTTGGACTCGCAAACAGGTGGGGGGGGGGGGGTGTAAATTTAAACCTTATGTGTTACGGGTTATCACAAATTTTGAATTTTAAAATCAATGAAAATTTTACCGACTGTTCCTCAGATTTTATTGTGAAGAACTTCACCTAGTTAATATTATAGAATCAGGCTTAATTGAAAAGGTAATTTTTAATTTTTTTCGCTATAAATAATTCTTTTTTATTAATATTAATGGTACAAATTTTTTTAATGAAAAAATTTTATTTTTCCTTCAATGATTACAATTATGACTTCAGTTTTAAATTTTTCACGCGCTTCGCTAAAAACTTCCTACAACATTTGGACACAAATATAGTTTTAATGTTAGGGGGTATGTTACACAATCAGGGTCGTAACTGGGTGTTTCTGTAGTGGTTGGGGCATACCGAGTGTAACATGTTTACGTGGAGATGCAGTGGAGCGTCATTTTCACGAATCTTTTACACTTTACATTGTTTTATTATTATACTTTTTGTTAAGCTTTACCTTGCTTAAATAAGAATAAAAATATTATTATTAGAGTTAATTATGAGAACTGGTAATTTTAACTGAAACATGAATCAATTTTTTATATATTAAATATTCATAAAACATCCTTTCTGACCAAATAATAATTTTGTTTTACCGTTTACAAAATTGATATGTTGATCCGACAGTGGATTGCGGGGGGCAACCGCCACCCCCTCAGTTACGGCTCTGTCTAAATTCATAAGAAATATGTTTTAACAAACATTGTCCTGTTAGAACAAAGTTGTTTTGGGGGATGGATTGGTTGAGTGGTTAGACGGACCACCTACTCTGATACAATTATCACCCATCAATGGCTGGACTATAACTCCGTTGAAGCCAAAGGTTAGTTCTATTACTTATAATGCTATTTTAATTCGCCCTCCATTTGTAAAGTGGCATTTCCGATTCACAATATTGCCCTTTAAACTTGTGTCTGATCAAGGATGTGGTATTATATTTTATCCGGAAAATTAGGAATTCTGGAATTAGTAGAAACCAAGGATTATGGAATAGAAGGGAGATACAAATGACGCGGCCCGTCCTACCATATGATTATACATGCTTTGCAAACGGTACTCCATTTGAGTAAGAAATGTTTGTCTGGTGTACAAATACCGCATATACATAACCTATTCTGAATATTTCTTATTAAAATGAAGTACCGTCTGCAGAGCAAAAACTGAGAAGAATACCTGCCCTGCCCCACTAGGTCGGCGCAGCTGACGCCCCCTGCTTTCTCTGTCCCGGGCCGGTAGCGTACAATTCGTCATAACCCCCCGGTGGACAGGTCTCCAGGGGCCTAGACAACAACTTCTATTCCATACTCCTTGCATGAAACCCATGAAACTCTAAAATTGGAAGACGACTTTTTAGCAATATTTTGTGGATGTGATGTTATCAAAGTAATAGTTTGAAAGTTTGCGTATTTGGTTAAATGAGTCATTTCCGTTGGTCATTGCACAATTGCTTGGTTTTATAGTCTTCTTAACTATTTAAAATCATAATTTAAAGTTGAACGGTCGTCTTCCTATTCCACAGTTTTATAGGTCATACTGCAGTGTGCCAAAATTTAAATCAAAAGTTTCTTTCAGTAGCTCACATAGATAAATTGAATTTTTACATTCATTGTTTGAGTTTCCTCACCTTAAACATTTAATCAGTTTGTTACTAACGTTGCACTTTTTAGGATTGTTTTTTCTACGCGGTGACTTCGGAAAACGATTCCTCACCTAATTACATCCTTACGGGTTAATATTCATACTAAAACTGTGTAAGCATTACTAGTCGACTCTTTTGCAGGCAGAGGGGGAAGGAGTACTTTTAAATTAGGGATATTTGACCCATTAGTGACGAGAAGGTCAATTTTGACCGGGTGAGGTTTTTTCTTCAAACTAAATGTTGTCTTGTCTTTCCTTAGGATTCCCTGTTTTCAAAACATATTTTATATTTGACGTAACTTCGAAATTGGTTTTTTTTATTTTCAATTTTAAAAAACCCAAAAAAAACTAAGATTTGGAATTCGGAAAAAAAGAACACCCTGTAATTTAGTTGTGAATCTATAAAATTGTCAATTTTTGCTAGAAAAAAATTAAAGATATTTTTGGAATCTTCTATTAAAGATCTAAATAACTAAAACATGAAAAGTAAAGTTTTAAAGATAATTAAATAATTATGAATTACCAAAGTTTTTTTGATTTTCATGTTTTACAGGTCACTCTGTACAAAAAAAAATTAAAAAATTTATTTGAATATCGTTTCTTCTAAAACGACTTCACTAATAGTTAATGGTCTCGTCACTAATGGGTTAACGGTTAACGGTTGAACTATTTACAGAGAATTGTTTGATGTTAAGTTCATAATTGAAAAGAATGTTTTTAATCCTAACAGGGTTTGTTAACTTTGTATGAATATTTTAACCAATAGAACCGTCAGATGAGTATCTTCCTATAATTGAAACAAGCGAGCTCAAAAAGGAATTATACAAATACATTCTACAATATTCTGGTTCAGGTAAATATTTAGATTGTTATCTAAGTCTTTATTAGGGTTTTGTTTTCCTGTATTTTATTATTAATTGCGCCGTGGGCCCCCGCCCCTCCTTCCGAAATATGGCAACCACCCGTGAATATATATCTTAACCTAACCTGACTTTAATAAATACAATCACGGGAGTTTGCTGGCTTTTTTGCATGAAGGGCGGGGCTCCAGATTAACTAGAAGATGACTGGTCTAATTTTCCATTATACGGTGTTCATTCACTATTATTTATATATTAGAGTATGATGATGATTGGAACACGTTCCTGGATTGGTTAGTGGGAAAGAACGCTTTGTTAGACTATGATTTTCTACGGAAGAATTCGGATTTCATTATAGTTCAAACTCGTGATGAACCGGAACTCAGATCTTTGAGAATATTCAAGGAAATCGAGGGATTAAGGCAAGTATTTTCTGAGAAAATGTCCTGACCCTACTGTCAAAGCATTTTTTAATATATACTTACTTTATTTGATGGACAGTAGAAGTCTTAAATTTGGTTAGAAAACGGACAAGGCCCCCCCCCCCCATTTTATTATGTCATTTCTCTAAATAATGCTTATTCTTTATTCTCTATTTTTTAGAAATGGAAAACGAAACAGAAAAGCTCTCGTCCAATCTTTCTCTCCAGATTACCATGATCCTATCCCCTCCACCTCTTCCTCCAGTTCACCATTAAGAAGCCCCCGCGGGTTTCTTAGAGTGTGGGGACGTCGTGGAATGCCGCGTCTTCAAGTAACTTCTGATGAATTAATTCGTGGTGCCGCAGCTGAAGTGAGAACTCCAAGAGGGAAATCTTCAGCACGCCGGGGAAGGAGGTCACGTGGATGGGCACCTGCACCTCCTGCTATATCTACAGTCAAAACTGACCCTTGTCAAGATAGTGTTTTAGACTCGGACTCGGACATTGAGATTCTTTTTGAACAAACTTGATTTTTTTAAATTGTAAATATCTGCAACTCGCGTGTGATAGGTGGTAAACCAGAAAATGAAATAAAACCGGTTCTTCAATCTACTGATAAAATTCATCCAGAAACAGGTACTACAAGAATAAATTGTTAAGGCTCAGTTTTCGTAAGATCATCGGCGTAGAACATTTTTTTCGCACTAACTGTTCTAAATCATAGATTTTACTTCTCATTACAAATGTTCCTTACATTCGGGGGGAGTTCTTTTGAATATTTATCCCACTCAAAGTTATATTTTACTTAATTCCAGGTTCAGACAACCCTGGTATCCGGGTCAAACAGCTGATACAAGAACCTTCAATTCTTAAGGAAACTAAAGATTTTTTTAATAAAATTTTGTTAAATTTAGTTTAGTTTGTTGTTGTTACCTATGTAAAAGATTTGGAACGGGCATCTGTAAAGGGACTGTTCACGTAATTTCAAGTGACTCTCCACTTATAGAATGACATGTCTGAATCACAATGGTACTCTGTAAAGCTTTGTCAATTCATAGTTATAAATTTCTTATTTTTTAGATGTTTTGTTTGTAAATTCTTCGAATAGTTAATGCTTTATTCCGACGGGCTAGTGAGGGGAGGAAGGCCAGCCACAACAATTTCTAGTTCGATTCACAATCTCCTCATTTTCTCGTCCAAGCCACCTCTAAATCCTCGTCCTTCCAATAATATTTCTTCCAAGATAAAACCTTTTTTTTAAGAATCGGGCCACGTTAGGGCATAAATGAAATATTGATTTTTTGTAAATCGAAAAAAAAATAGTTTCAATTGGATTTAAGTTTTCTAGAAATTTTATTTTGAGCATTATTTACAAAGAAATCTTTTTGTTGATTAGAAGGTGTATCCTCATATACCGCTAATACGGTTTCGTAAGCATCAAACATTAACTTCTTTACCCGTCAATGCTGCCTTGTTAGAGAATTCTCAACAAATGGATAAAAGAAATAATCATGGTAAGACTTTAAGACGTACATTGCGTTTCCCTGAAGTGAATTTACCTTTAGTCACTGCTTAGGATCCATTCAATTTTGATGTGGATCCGGATCCTGGATTCGCAATGGAAAAAAATGGATCCGGGTTTAGAGGTTAAAAAAAGGTTTTTTATCAGTTTTTGTGGATCTGCATATTTTTGCGGATCCGGTTCTAGGAAGCCAAATTCTTGCAGATGCAACGGATCCGGATCCAGGTCCTAAGCACTGCCTGTAATTAATTTCTATGCTTGACGCTCCTTAATTACATAATGGGGGGGGGGGCAGCTACCTTCTTCTTTGGAGCATGTGACGTTGTGACTATTGACCACCCTGTTTTGGGACTTATTTAGAGGGGTTTTGGGTAGTTAGTATAGTCCATAAAGAAGAGGAAATTTAAAAGATAGTAAACTAATTAAAGAAAGTCATCTCAGGACTGACAAGATCTACGCACTATTTAAGAGACGCTAATGTATTACAAGGATATTTAAATATACACTGCGGCAGTATGATTATAAATAGATAGAGCTCGTGTAGTTTTAACAAGCTTATTTCCAGGTGCTCTTGAATGGAACGAACTGCCAGCCAAATACCGACGCCGAGAAATCGATCAATTAGAATGTGACGTCATCAATAATGGCGGAGCTGATCGACCATGGCAGTAGTTCGTTTGTTAGAAACGTTTAGTCAAATTAGAATTTTAATTTTTATCGACATTAGCTATTTTCTTAAACCTTAAATTTTGTGTCAAAGGCTCAGATGTCGGAAATTTGACCTGCTTGATCTCGATATCCATTAATAGTTAGTACTTCTAGATATGATGCTGTGTTAGACATTTAGTTTTTAAGATTTGGAAGTTCAGAAAATTTAGATCTGTTTTTACCTTTTGTTAGTTGACAAATTTAACTTATTTTTGCTGCCCATACTGCCATTTGGAAATAACATTATTATTATTTTGTAGATACTGTTCGACAAATGTATTTACAGTTTGCTCAGTTATTTTTGTCAAAAAAAATGTATATGTGAATTTTAGACCTTATGCCGCCTTTCATTTTGTTGAGTTAAATTTTTTATTTTTATTTATTTATTTATTTTTTTATTTGTTTATTTATTTATTTGTTTTTAGAGCTTTTAATCTGTTCCATTTAGATACATGATATAAATGCTTATTCGGATTCATCTTTGAAAAAATAGTTTTATTGTTTCTTGGTTTGTTTCCTTTTTTGTTTCGTCTTCCTCAATCAGCCTTGTACATTTAAGTCTTTTCGGACCCTATTACATTGTTAACATATTGAATATTGATTACTGAAATCATGTCAAATTTTCGCCTTTTAAGCTGAAAGCTTTTAACGAAATTTTAAAAAAAATGAAAATTTTACGTTTTACATCATTTTCTTGGACATCTTTTTGTTTAATTCAGATTTGAAATCTTAAAATGGAGAGATTTAACCAAGTTAAGGCGAAATAACAAACCAGAAAAATTTATCTTCATAAAGTTTTTGGTAGGTTTTGTGATCTACCTGATTCAATTTTAAAACATTTATGTATCATAATATTTTCAAAAGCGAAATTTTGTGCACGAAACGGAACAATATTTTGTTTATGGTCGTTATTTTATTGCTAAAAAACCATTTCAATATTTTCTTTAATTGTTGTTTATATTCTTTCATTCCGCTTAACTGCAATATTTAGTAAATACGTATTTTACCAATTCTGTTCTTAATCTACATTTTTATTTATTTTCTTACTTTGTGTAAAAATATTAGTTTTGTGAAAACTTGCTTGTAATATAAAATATACATTGACTATAAAATTTTTCTTTCCTTTTAATATTGTTCGTATTTTTTTTGTTTCTGAATAAAAGTGTGAATGCGATTTTTATGCTACTCTGGAAGTTCTTGTCAACAATCGACACTGTAACCAATTTTTTCTTAACACATTGCACATTTTCACACAAGGGTTCCCTTCAAACTGACGTTTATTTTGTGGTGCGTCATTTTTGATATTCATATGGCTTTTAAAGATAAGCCAATTTTTTTGTGAAAATCAGAATTTAGATTTGTAAAATAAAAGTTTTGCAGTTTACATTAAGAGAAATCATCCTTATTACATATTAACACTGAAATATTGAGATCTAAATATATATGTATTGCGTGACGCGGCTAGATTTTTTAAAATCACACTAAGGCCCTAAATATACCATTTAAAAATTAGTTTTACCCGGAAGAGTCAAATGTGGTGGTACGGAAGGGGAAATAGTAGTGGCGCATGGCTGCCGGAAGAGAAAAAAGCTAATATGTGGTACGGAAGGGGAAATAGTGGTGGCTCATGGCCGCCTGCCTTCCCCCGCTCACACAGCTGCATACTGGCAATACACATTCCACGGATGTAATGATAGATCAAGAGTGCATACTTCTTTGATAAGTCATTCCCCATTAAAAAAACTTCTCCTAGTAGTATACAAATGTACAGTAATTTTTTTTGCATAAATTTTTGGAGATGAGTATCGGAAAGGATTAATTTGTCTTAGTGTCGATTTTTTTATATTTTTCCCCATCAGCATTGGCGTACATAGGGGGGGGGGCAGTAGTCCTCTTGCCCCCCCCTGGGAGTTCCAGGGGGGGGCCCTGCCCCCCCCTGGAAAATACAAAATTAAAAGGAAACAAATTTAACACAAAATTTTAAGATACTTTAGACTAAAACTTTTTCAAAAACAAGACCTCGACATATTAGATGCTTACATGATGTAAGATGTAATAAAGGTANCCCCCCCCCCCCCTACTCCTTTTACAAATTGTCTACATAACATAAAGCTCAAATGTGACATGAAGTCAAAGTCATTTATTTAAATTTGACAAACATGCTTATTATTAAATGTTATTTATTAAAAGTTTAGAAGTTGCAGAGTTTTAAAAAGAAAATGTCTGAAAAGTGAAAGATTGATTAAAAATATATTGATTTAGTTAGCTGTGATGGAGTTAAGTGATAAATAAAGTTAAAAAGTTAAAGTTAGTTTTCCGAGCAAAGGTATAATTTTTAGACTCTATAAGCTAAGTAACACCCAAAAATGTAGTCTTTTTGGTGTATTTTTATGGTGTTAATTGACTTTTTGAACAAAACAATTCCAGGGGGGGGGGCAAAAAAAGCTTGCCCCCCCCTAGCTAAAATCCTGTGTACGCGCCTGCCCATCAGATCATAGAAAATCATTTATCCCCCCCCCACAATTCTTAAAAATTTAATACCCCTTGATATAAGTGCATCGAGTATTTACATTTTTACCATGGTTTAAAAATTTATGATGGACTGTTACCCTTGTTTAGTTGTATTCCCCCTTTCGCACTATTATTAAATTCTAGCCAATAGAGGGTTTTTTAGGGCTCTTCGCTCGATCCCCCTTTCAATAACAAATTTTAAATCTGAACTTTAAATATCGCCATTTTTAACAGTTCTCAAATTTTTGCTGATTTTTCGGGTTTAAGTCGTGCATTTTCTTCAATAATAAATTTTGACATTTTTTCGGGCAAAATTGTTCAACTCGTTCAACCTTCCGTGGGATTATGTCAGTTGCAACAAAATCGTGCTCGATCTGTTAATTAGTTATTACGCTTTTGATACAAACAAACAGACAGACAAGCTAGGTATATATAGAAATGTAAAAGCTAGATTCCCGAACAAGTTCCGAAACAATTAAACCATCTGCATTTAACGTATTTAACAGTTATCTTCAGTTCCTTAAGTCTAATGTCATTTGGAATACCCTACTCACGCAGTCGCACCCTTGACACATTAGTTAAAGTAAAATCAACCTAAAGTCTGACTGCGTCAACCTTGTTGCACCGGCTAGGCCTATTGAATGTCTGCATTATTTACCCGATGTCTGGGCGATACAGTACAAACTGGGACCGGATAGGTTGAGCCGGCTCGGAAATTCACTTTATATACTATGGCTCCCCGTGATAGTTGCAAATTGTGATTATTTGGATTCAGTAATCAATATCTAAAAATGCAATTCAAAATCATCTCGTCTTTAAATAGACATTATTCTTTAACACCATTAGTGTTATTAAGGATTTATTCATTTTACTTTTAACAAAATAACAATACATTACTTCAGTGCACAACTGACAATAATTTAATTTTTTTTAAAACCGAAGATTCTTTGAAAAGTAATATTTGATTTTAACGAGTAGAGGAATTGTGTATTAAGACTAATCTTTGGTCGTTTTATATCATGATCTGGAATATATCTAGGCAGTGGCGTATACAAGGAATACAAGGGGAGATGTTGGGGGTAATACCCCCCCCCCCCTCCTCTAGATTTAGAAGGATAAAAACTGTTAAAGGTTTCCGTAAGAACATGGATACAATGGTCTAGAAAAGAGTAAACTTCCCAAGGTTCATTAAAACCATGATCTAGGATATATCTTAGAAGATAAAACTGTTCAAAGTTTCCGTAAAACCATGATCTAGGATATATCTTAGAAGATAAAACTGTTCAAAGTTTCCGTAAAACCATGATCTAGGATATATCACGAAAGATAAAACTGTTCAAAGTTTCCATAAAACCATGATCTAGGATGTATCGCGGAAGATAAAACTGTTCAAAGTTTCATTGAAACCATGAATCTTGATCTAGGATATATCTAGGAAGAGTAAACTGTTCCAAGGTTTTCTAAAGAACATATAAACCATGATCTAGGATATCTCTAGGAAAGAGTAAGCTGTTCAAGGTTTACTAAAAAGAACTTAAAAACCATGATTTAGGACATATCTAGGAAAAAGTAAACTGTTCTCTTCTAAGTTTTCTAAAGAACATGAAAACCATGATCTAGGAAATTTCTAGGAAAGAGTAAACTGTTCAAGGTTTCCTAAAGAACATATAAACAATGATCTAGGATATTTCTAGGATAGAGTAAGCTGTTCTCTTCTAAGTTTTCTAAAGAACATATGATCTAGGATATTTCTAGGATAGAGTAAGCTGTTCTCTTCTAAGTTTTCTAAAGAACATATAAACAATGATCTAGGATATTTCTAGGATAGAGTAAGCTGTTCTCTTCTAAGTTTTCTAAAGAACATGAAAACAATGATCCAAGAGATAAGGTATAAAATGGAGAGGAGCAGAGGAACCAGAATCCAGGCCAACTCATCTTAAAACAAAAATATCGAAATTTATATTAACAGTTTTTATTATTTTCAAGGGACTGTAGAAGTAATTTTATGTCTGATTTACAAAGGTCTCTTTAAAGCTTTGTCTGATCAGAAATTTATTAGATTTCTTTAAAAATTGATTATTTTCAATTCTAGTTTTTCTTTGAATTGGCATGCGCATATTCTGCTTTAGAAACAAATGAGGAAATTGTCCGAATTAATTGTTTTGTTCCAGCTAAAATTACGAAGATATCTTCCACATTTTTGATTAGCTAAAACTTATAAGGGTACCGGTGTGAATCAAGCACGCCCCTATTATTAAATGGAAGCTGACTTGAAATTACATCCACAGTCTTTGAACTAATTATGTTACCTAACTCGATATCTCCATAATACTTATTTCTATGAACTACTGTAGCTCCAAGTATCCCTGAGAGCACGAAGCATCCAAGAATATTGAAAAAGTAGAAGATTAACCAGGATAAAAGTGCTAAGGGACGGTTTCCTAGAGCACCTCCCACCAGGAACAAGTTGACTGTGAGAGCTGTGAGACTAAACAGCAGCTGACCGGCCAAGGCTGTGCTTGTTTGTCCTAAATATTAAAAATCAATAACATCATCTTTATTAACTACATGGTTACCCAAGCAAAGAATGTGACTTTAATTACGACATAAGACTTTAAAACTGCAATTAAAAGATTTAGTTTGTTATTTTGCTTTTTAACAATGGCTTTAATGACGAGCTAAGACTCTTGAAAACTGCGATTATATATTATTATATACATGCGATTATAATTTGACAGATAAATAAATAAGTTTTTAGCTTCAGGAAACCGTAGATGCAAGAAAAAACTGAATACATTCTGTACATGTCGTCTTTGAAGTCTCATCCTTTTTGGAAGAGACTGTGATTAATAAAGATAATCATGTGTAGAAGCTTGTTTAATGTTTATGACCTACTATTCTTTACGGTTTAAAATTTCACAATCAATTATTGGCCTAAGAACCTGTTTAACTAATAACACAAGCTAGCGTGTACTAATTAAATTTACTTCATAAAGGTCTATTACAATGCGCTAGCTGTTAAGAAATTAATAGAGTAGAAAAAATATTGAGTCTAATTTAGTACAAAAACGTGTAAAACAAGTGTAGACTGTAGAGTGGATCATTTCATCCCCTCTGCGATACTTAATCATCCTTGAAAGTTTGTTAAAAACATTTAATGATTTAAATTAATTAATTCCTTTTAAATTAAATAACAATGAAATTTATTCGAGACGTTGATATTTTTATTATGTGTTTCTAATTAATCGTTAAGTGTTTTAACAAGTCTTCTGTTTAGCAATTTTTTAAAATATTTTTACAGTTTTCCAATATTACCCACTTGTATAAAATACTTTGGGATTCTCCTAGCCTGGGGGGGGGGGGCATTCCAGGATCCCGAAAACTCCAATAAAACACCCCCCTAAAGTGTTAAGAGCACCCTACATTTATTGCTTTGATGAAATGGTTTGAACATTTAAAGGAGAATACAGTATGAACGGATGCACGAAACCGGCATTTTGTTGCACTCAAGGTTATAATGCAAGGACAGTTAATTGCAGTTGCGTATACTCTGCGTACATATTGAAACCAGTTCTCTCTGGGAGGAATTTGTAAAACAAGAATAGATGCATCCGAGGAGGATGAAAGCTTTTAATTATGATAATTTTGATAATTCACAATAATAGTTTTCTATGACCAGAATATTTCATTGATTTTTTATGTGAAAGATGGATCCCATGTCAGGATCTGACATCCGTCTTGTGTTTACATTATCGATCAGAGACAGTACACTGCAGCACAAAAGATGCGTACACCTCTGAAATAACTTTCCTTGCATTATAACCTTGGTTGTACTGTTCCGTATCGCAGCTAGGTGTACTTTAAACATACATCTATATTTTTTTCTAATAAGTGGCAAATTTTTATTTGTACTTTTTAATTCTTCTAATTTTCTACATATATATTATCAGATACAGAAATTGAAAGAGAAAGATTAGATAAATGTTAAGGAAAATTTAAAGAGAATAATTAGATAAATATTAAGAAAAATTGAAAGAGAAAGATTAGATAAACATTAAGAAAAATTGAAAGAGAAAGATTAGATAAACATTAAGAAAAATTGAAAGAGAAAAATTAGATAAACATTAAGAAAAATTGAAAGAGAAAAATTAGATAAACATTAAGAAAAATTGAAAGTTTTCTACCTGTATGCTCCTTATTTGGACCAAACCTAAAGAGAATGCAGAGAAGAGCATCTGTACAAATATGTGAGATCGGGTCATCAGCAGCTGATGGGTCATCATTCAGGTAGTTAGTGATCAGGTAGTACAAGGATACTACTATACCTACAGTATATACAGGGGTAGTGATTAGGTAGTACAGGGATACTACTTTACCTGCAGTATATACAGGGGTAGTGATCAGTTAGTACAGGGATACTACTTTACCTACAGTATATACAGGGGTAGTGATCAGGTAGTACAGTGATACTACTTTACATATAGTATATACAGGGGTAGTGATCAGGTAGTACAGGGATACTACTTTACATATAGTATATACAGGGGTAGTGACTAGTGATCAGGTAGCACAGGGTACTACTTTACTTACAGTATATACAGGGGTAGTGATCAGGTAGTACAAGGATACTTCTTTACCCACAGTATATACAGGGGTAGTGATCAGGTAGTACAGGGATACTACTTTACCTACAGTATATACAGGGGTAGTGATCAGGTAGTACAGGGATACTACTTTACCTACAGAACAGGGTTAGTGATCAGGTATTACAAGGATACTACTATACCTACAGTATATACAGGGGTAGTGATCAGGCAGTACAGTGATACTACTTTACCTGCAGAATATACAAGGGTAGTTACTGTAGTATATCCTGTATAAGACAGAAGACCAAATAACTCTTAAATCATTATATTCCAATTTAATTCTGCTTCAAGAACAGCGCATTAAATTGTCACAATTAAATATTCAAGCAAAGACAGCGACAATATTTTACACATTTTTGATCATTTAAACGTTGAAAGCGTAACGTTGTGAATTGCGCATGCCTTATTTTTTAAACGGAAGGTACCTTAAAATAAGGTTGAAAGTCCCATTAAGTAAGAGAACTGATTTTGAAAAAATTTAGATAATAATTTGTTATAATTAAAGTATGAAACAAATCAATGAAGGTGTTTATGAGTTCTTATCGGACGAATCGGACACTCAAACAAACAGACAAATAGATATTAAACTTGTTTATTAAATGTAACATTATATTATTATTAATTACCTGCACAATGGATAAAAGCTAAAGATGTTCCTATTAAAGATATTCTTCCTTCTGGACTAGTGATCATCTGACAGCATCCCTTTCTCTCACTTACCATTCTCTAGAGTACAGTACAGTACAGTACGCTGCAGTACGCTGCAGTACGCTACAGTACACTACAGTACAGTACAGCGCAGTACAGTACAGAATAGTATACAGTACAGTACAGTACAAAACTTCAAAGTACAATACAATGCAATATAGTGCAGTAAAGTACAGTACAGTGGAGTATAAAACAGTACAGTACAACTTAGTACAATATAGTGCAGTACAGTACAGTACAGCGAAGTGCAATAAAGTACAGTCCAGGACAGTACAAAGCAGTATAGTATAGTACTTTAGAGCATATTACAGTACACCACAGCAAAGTATAGTACACAACAGGGCATACATTTACAGTACAATTATTTGTTGGTTGTAAATTATCTTTTTAAGAATTGTTTCTTTGAAGTGTACAAGTCCAATATGGTGAAATTTTAGGTGATTATAACACACATTTTTTTAAACTAGGCTTTCAGGGCGGTTTGCGTCATCTTCTATTTGAATTGTGAACATTTTCTCTTTGTATGCATTGTAAAACAAAAGCAACCAAATTTCGCGGATTTCAAAAAAAAATCGTGGATTTTTAAATTTTATTGAAAATCGAATTTTGTTGGAGGCAAATTTTTTAAGTTTTGATAATATATAAACCTTCCCTGGGGTACATGTGAAGTCTCACACAAGTTTTGGGCCCGATCGGATCAGCCATTTTGACGCTTATTGGATACAAACAAACTAACACCCAAACAGACCAGCAAATTATATATGTGCTAGGCTTTTAGGGTGCTTCGCGCCCATCTTTTATTTCAATTGTGAACATGATTTTATTGTGTACATTGCAAAAAAAGACAAAATTTCGTAGATTTTCAAAAAAAGTATTTTGATGGAGGCAAATTTTGATATTTGGATCATCTATAAACCTTCCCTGGGGTCACACGACAATCCACAAAATTTTTTGGCCCGATCGGTTTAGCCGTTTTGACGTTTATTTGATACAAACGAACAGACAGACAATTAAAGTATATATATAGATAGAATAGATAGCACAGTGTACATATTTTAACCTGTCCGTGTGGAGCAGAGCAGCAAGTAGAAGACCTGCTGATACTAAATATTTTACTTTAAACATCTGAACACCAAATTATTTTTTTTTATTTTCATTGTCAAAATTATTATTATTATTATTATTTATTATTTTTTGTAACTTTTAATTTTGGCGATTAAGTTAGCAACCTTATACTGAAAACAATTGAACTTGGTTAATCATCTTGAAAACAAGAAAAATATTTTCTTTCCCTTTCATTATATGAGTAATTCATTTCAATGGTACTGTAACTTTAAACTAATCATGGTTAAAGAAAGGATTTTCATCCTGTACATACACCTGTTGCGACTTCAAGAGCTTCGGAACTAACGAACATCTCCAGAACTTTATACCTCAAAACACATGGGTTCAAGATCTCAAGAATTTAGAAATTCACGAACATAGGAGGAGCTCTCATAAACTGATTATTATAAAACGTAAGGACTAAAAAACATAAAAACTCATTGACCTAAAATTTTTTCAAATCTAACAGATCAATAATTTGTTAATTCATAAAATTACTTTGTTATTCAAAACTCAAGACAAAAAGACACAAAAACTCAAGGACTTATCAACTCAAATATTTAGGAGCTCAAAAAAACTTCAGCACTGAATATCTGAGTAAATTAAAACTCCAGAACCTAATATCTCAAAATGAAAGGACTCAAAAACTCAAGACTACTGGAGAGAACTGAATAGATTAAAAATCCGCGAAACTTGAATTCTTAACTACTATGGAACTCCAAAACTAGAACTGAGAAACCTAGGATCAAAATGAACACTTGTGTTAAATTATTTATTTTAATTTTACATTAACCCAGAGTTCAAAGCTTAAAACTTTCCCCGCGCGCAAAGAATAAATACTAAGAATCTTGTTTGAAGTTTCAAATGTAGTTTCTCTCCCCTCTCAACCCTATCCATTTTTCTCTCCTACTCATTCCTCTGATCTTTCATTCTCATAATCGTTTATCTTCATCCTTCATTCTCCTTTCTACTTATCTTTTATTCTCATTGTCTATTCTCTTCATCTTTAATTTTACTTTCTCCTTATCTTTTATTCTCATTGTCTAATCTCTTCATCTTTAATTTTACTTTCTCCTTATCTTTTATTCTCATTGTCTATTCTCTTCATCTTTAATTTTACTTTCTCCCCCCAGTATATACAGGGGTAGTGATTAGGTAGTACAGGGATACTACTTTACCTGCAGTATATACAGGGGTAGTGATCAGGTAGTACAGGGATACTACTTTACCTACAGAACAGGGTTAGTGATCAGGTATTACAAGGATACTACTATACNCCGTCTTTGTATCATGAACTTATAGGAGATTTAATAGCTCAGACTTTGTATCATGAACTTATTGGGAGATTTAATAGATCAGACTTTGTATCATGAATTTTTTGGGAGATTTAATAGCTCAGACTTTGTATCATCAAATTACAGGGAGATTTAATAGCTCAGACTTTGTATCATGAACTTATTGGGAGATTTAATAGCTCAGACTTTGTATCATGAAATTACAGGGAGATTTAATAATAGCTCAGACTTTGTATCATGAACTTATTGGGAGATTTAATAGCTCAGACTTTGTCCAAGCAAGCTGTGACTATCGATCACAATTTGCCCAATAAAACATTTTTCTCTTTTTTAAAACTTTTTTGTCGGCGAATGCGTTTAAATAAAAAATAAGAGAGCTCTGTAAATGTAAAGATTGTTATATAATAGATGCACAATTGAAGAATCCGAACAAATCTTTTCGTTGTTAGTCCAGAAGGGAATTAATTTTAAATATTATCTAAGTCAAAACTTTCGTTTTAGAAAGCGCTAATCTACAACACTTGATCTCGATATCTACAGAGTCAACTTTAAGTTTAAGAGATAAGCGTTTGATCTCTCAATTTAAGTTAATCTCTGGTCGGTTTCGAATAGGATATCTGGTAGGAATTAAATTAATCCTTTTGACGTCAAACGTTTTAACCTCTGGATTAAATGTTTGTTTTTAAGTTCCTATTATCACACTAAGCTTAGCAAAAGGATAAAATTAGATATTTGTGCAACATTACTGGTGTGAGAAAAACAAATTAATCAATTTATTGTTTAGAAATTCAAAACATTTTTGTTCATCATTTTTTTAATGAGAGCGGAAATTTAAATTTATATGATGAAAGATTAAGAAGGATTAAAATTTATTTTTGATAAAAATTTTAAATATAAAATATACATGTCTTCAGTCAAAGGCTCTTGATGCAGATATAATTGCTGGAAACATAATTAATAGAAACGCAGTTACTAGAAACCTGGGGAGGAATATTTTATTTCTAAGACACGGGTGTACAATGAAAACGGGAGGTTTTAGAAAGAGCCTAAAATTCTTTCTCATATTGATATTGGTGAAATTAGAAAAAAACCTGAAACCAAATTTCAGAAGAGAAAGAGCAAAATAAAACAAATAAAAAAGGAGTTAAAAGTCCTGAATTAAAAAGAGAGACATAAAGGGAGAAGTAAGGACGCTTAAAAATAAATTGGAAGGATTAAAACAGAGAAATCATTTTTAAATACATTTTATGTAAATTGTTATCTAAAGTATGCCTTGGGCTGTTATCTCTGTATTCCATCTAAAATCTGAGAATCACATTTTTTACTATCTTGATTTGTTATTTTCTTCCACTTCTGCTACATGAGTAGTAGCATATTTTACTGGTGGAACTACAGACTACTGAAGTATCTAAGTAGTAAGCAACAAGGCAGTACATCAGTGATCAGCTGTTTAGATGACCTAGAGCAACAGCTTTCACCTATACATTCTCATATACTAAATATATATACTTCACTTTAACTCAAATATATTATATAAACACATCTAGTAAAAACTGGTTTTTATTAATGTAAAACTTTTAGAATTTTAAAATTTTATAGTAAACGATTTTTAATGAATATCTAACATAGGGGTGTGAGGCTACAAACATAGGGGAGAGAGGCTTTGATCATGGGGTAGGGGATGGCGGTTGGTTCAAAAATAGGGGAGGGATGGGAGAGGGGGGGGTTTCGATCTTAGGGATGGGGATATCATATTAAATACCTAAGCAGAAGAAACACACACGTTGCATTGGCTAGAAATAATATCCAATCTACTTATCTTTAAAATCTGTAAAGGTAAAACTGGTTTCGTCTAGGTTGTTTGATTGATTTAAATTCAAACCTTACGCCTTTGATATATAGCCTAGTTTTGGATGAAAATTGAATTGAGGAAAAAATTGACCAATTCGTCTAATTTTCTTTTCAACACATATTTTTAGATAATATCATGCACTTTAATAATGATTGCACTGGACTGCATTAATCATATTTACAGTGCAACTTAGTCAAAATTGAACAATGCAATTATATGCACCTTCTGTCATAATTAAATCCAATGAATGTAAGGCAAGGAAAGTCATTTCAGTGGTGTACGCATTTTTTGTACTGCAGTGTACTGTCTTTGGGTTCTAATATAAACACAAGATATGTCTCTGTATCCTTGTATCCGGAATGATTATGTCTCTGTATCCTTGCATCCAGAATGATTATGTCTCTGTATCCTTGTATCCGGAATGATTATTTCATTGTATCCTTGCATCCGGAATGATTATGTCTCTGTATCCTTGCATCCGGAATGATTATGTCTCCGTATCCTTGTATCCGGAATGATTATGTTTCTGTATCCTTGTATCCGGAATGATTATGTCTCTGTATCCTTGTATCCGGAATGATTATGTCTCTGTATCCTTGCATCCGGAATGATTATGTCTCTGTATCCTTGTATCCGGAATGATTATGTCTCTGTATCCTTGTATCCGGAATAACGTTGGTTTTGCTCTACTCCATCTATGCACACAAAACAAAGCCTATATAGAACTTCTTGTACTGCTTGTCAACGAAAGAAAGTCAAGGCGGATTAAGAACCTCGCTGACTAGTGTTTTTATTCAGAAGAACTCAGTTCTTGTTGGTAAACCAATAATAAATGTGTTTTGTTATTTGTAACCTCCATCACCCCCTCCCCTCACACCTAATCCACACCTCCTCCATCTCCTCCACCTCCTTCCCCTTTCTTCCTCNCCTTCTAGTTCTCCTACTCCTCTTCCCATACACCTCCTTCTAGTTCTCCTACTCCTCTTCCCATACACCTCCTTCTAGTTCTCCTACTCCTCTTCCCATACACCTCCTTCTAGTTCTCCTACTCCTCTTCCCATACACCTCCTTCTAGTTCTCCTACTCCTCTTCCCATACACCTCCTTCTAGTTCTCCTACTCCTCTTCCCATACACCTCCTTCTAGTTCTCCTACTCCTCTTCCCATACACCTCCTTCTAGTTCTCCTACTCCTCTTCCCATACACCTCCTTCTAGTTCTCCTACTCCTCTTCCCATACACCTCCTTCTAGTTCTCCTACTCCTCTTCCCATACACCTCCTTCTAGTTCTCCTACTCCTCTTCCCATACACCTCCTTCTAGTTCTCCTACTCCTCTTCCCATACACCTCCTTCTAGTTCTCCTACTCCTCTTCCCATACACCTCCTTCTAGTTCTCCTACTCCTCTTCCCATACACCTCCTTCTAGTTCTCCTACTCCTCTTCCCATACACCTCCTTCTAGTTCTCCTACTCCTCTTCCCATACACCTCCTTCTAGTTCTCCTACTCCTCTTCCCATACACCTCCTTCTAGTTCTCCTACTCCTCTTCCCATACACCTCCTTCTAGTTCTCCTACTCCTCTTCCCATACACCTCCTTCTAGTTCTCCTACTCCTCTTCCCATACACCTCCTTCTAGTTCTCCTACCTCTCTTCCCATACACTTCCTTCTAATTCTCCTCCCTCGCTTCCCATACACCTCCTTCTAGTTCTCCTACTCCTCTTCCCATACACTTCTTTCTAGTTCTCATGTTTTTCTTCCCATAAACCCCCTTCTAGTTCTCCTACTCCTCTTCTCATACACCTCCTTCTAGTTCTCCTACTCCTCTTCCCATACACATCCTTCTAGTTCTCCTACTTCTGTTCCCATAAACCCCCTTATGGTTCTATTACTCCTCTTCCTCCTATTACTCCACTTCCTATCCCTTGACATGGTTCTTGTTCTATTCTTTTCCTCTTCTTTTCATCCTCTTTTTTCCTGCTCTACGTCGTGCTCTGCAAAATTGATTTTTCTTGCTCTATTATCCACTCTAGAAGAGCTGGGACAGAAAAAGGTTGACAGTTTATAAACTCCGGGTTGGATCATATACAAGGTTCAAACTATCAGTCACCATTGTACACTTATGTCTAGTTGGGTGTACTAAAACATCCCTACATCAATAATTAAGTTCAAAAGTTTGTCCGAACAAAAAGATATCAGTAAAGTAATACGTACGTCACTGTATACAAAAATTCACCCGTACAAAAGAAAATTATAAGATTTATGTTAGTGCAAAAGAACATGTGTTCATTGTTCAATAGCGTATAAGTACGTCATAAACGCATTGGACAAATTAAGAGCTGTTTATTTCATATGTTCGGTGCAATTCACATAAATGAAAAAGATACCAAATTGCAAAAAGTTAATTTGTACTGCATGCACATTTAATTCTTTAAAGTTTAATTTTACACCTTTCTTAAAGGTTTACTGTTACCCATGAATCTTACTGGTACGCTATTATTTAATTTTTTACTCCAGAATACATATAGACAAGGCAGCGTACTAGTTTATGAATAGTAAACTGTATTTTCTATGCCTTGAAGTAGTTTTGTTAAACCACAATTAAGTTAAAATGAAGAAAACCAAATCTTGAATAAGAATAAAGAAGGAAAGAAGAAACAAAAGTGAGTTCAGAAGTTAAATCAAAACTGCACGAAAAGTGGAAACATAACTGAGGATTAGAAACAGAACTGAACTCAGGAAAAGAAACAGAACTGAACTAAGGAAAAGAAACAGAACTGAACTAAGGAAAAGAAACAGAACTGAATTAAGGAAAAGAAACATAACTGAGCCAAGGAGAAGAAACATAACTGAACTAAGGAAAAGAAACAGAACTGAACTAAGTAGAAGAAACAGAACTGCACTAAGGAAAAGAAACAGAACTGAACTAAGAAGATGAAACAGAACTAAACTAAGGAGATGAAAGAGAACTGAACTGAGGAGAAGAAACAGAAATGCACTATGGAGAAGAAACAGAACTGCACTAAGGAAAAGAAACAGAACAGAACTAAGGAGATGAAACAGAACTGAACTAAGGAGAAGAAACAGAACTGCACTAAGGAAAAGAAACAGAACTGCACTAAGGAAAAGAAACAGAACAGAACTAAGGAGATGAAACAGAACTAAACAGAACTAAGGAAAAGAAACAGAACTGCACTAAGGAAAAGAACAGAACTGCACTAAGGAAAAGAAACAGAACAGAACTAAGGAGATGAAACAGAACTAAACAGAACTAAGGAATAGAAACAGAACTGCATTAAGAAAAAGAAACAGAACTGCACTAAGGAAAAGAAACAGAACAGAACTAAGGAGATGAAATATAACTGAACTAAGGAGAAGAAACAGGACTAAACTTTAAATCAGAAAAAGAACTGAACTAAGGAAAAAACAGACCTAAACTAAGGAGTAGAAAAAGAACTGAATAAAAACTTGAAACCAAACTGAACTAGGAGAAGAAACCGAACTGAACTAGGAGAGGAAACCTAACTGAACTAGGAGAAAGAAACCGAACTGAATGAAGGAGAAGGAATAGAACTGAATTAAGGAGAAAAACCCGAACTGAATAAAGGAGAAGGGATAGAACTGAATTAAGGAGAAGATACAGAACTCAACTATATATCAGAAATAGAATTGAACTGAGAAGAAGAAACAGAACTGAACTAAGAGTAGAAGATTAGATTTTGCACAGATTGAACCTTGAACCTTAACTTGATGATTGGTTCTATTTAAGATATTTTTAGAGAAATAGTTTAGGTTTGTATTAGTGGTGAAGTGGACCTTTATACTGTTAGTAGGTAACCTTTACATTTACCTACTCAAGGATAGGGAGGGGATGGGAGGAAGTGGGGAGGGGAAGGGAGGGGAAGGGAGGGGAAGGCAGGGGAAGGGAGGGGAAGGGAGGGGAAGGGAGGGGAAGAGAGGGGATGGGAGGGGATGGGAGATTGAGGAGGAGGGAGGTCTAGGTGGGGAGAGGGGGGAAGAAGGAGAGGTGTTTGGGCGATGAGAACGACGGAAAGTGATGAAGAAGAATTTTGATAATCAATCATCAAAGTTTTACTAAATTCTAATTTGAACAAAAAGTGCAACATCTTTATTATTCGGATTTGAATAAAAAATTTGTTCTTGCAATAATTTGTAGAAAGGTAAAATATATAATAATCCATTTAATGTACTTTTCCTACTATTTCTAGTCGGGAAGTTAAATATTCAATTTGAAACCCTTGAGCTCATTTTTTTAGGCGCCCCAAGCGCCTTTTTGGGTGCCTGAGCACGGAGAATGAAATAAAAACGCGCAAAAACCTAACCTTGATCTTCAAAACGCCGGAGACGAAAAAAGTGAGAACACAAAGTACATAATACAATAAATACGTATTATGCAGGCCACAATGGGACTATATACATTTTAGAACCAATCTTAAAAAGATTATTAATAAAATTGAACAAAATAAGCATTTTCTATAATTTTCTTCACTAGTACATTTCAAAAATCTATCTGTAGCAAGCTGGGGTCAAATTAACTTCTAAACTTCGTTTTTACTTTTATTAGAAACAAACACACGAATCAACAAGCA